CCCCCCCTCTCTCTCCCTCTCTCTCTCTCTCCTTCTCCATTCCAGTAATGTCAAAATGTCACCAGATCCTTCATCTTCTAATACACTAATTGATTTATCAACACTTCCAGGCTTAAGACATTTAGCCGTCAATCACTGCTCACTAGAAAACTTCTCTAGACTAGAAGGTACAAAATGTCTCTGATTCACATCTTAAATTCTTCCCTCTCTCTTCCCTACTTTCCTCTTCCTCTTTTTCCTCAGGCTTAAAAGGTCTTCGTAGACTAGAGTCTCTCTCTTTGGCTCATAATTTCTTACCTTTCGAAGCTTTTACTAAAGATTGTCCCCTGTCTTCACTCTCTTCACTCAAAAGACTAGATCTGAGTTACAACCTTTTAACAGGTTTACCTCCAGTCATACTAACACTGTTAAAGTAAGGGAGATAAGATTGTTATTATTATTATTATTATTGTTGTTGTTGTTGTTGTTTAGTATCGAGACACTGGTGCTAGTGGAAAATAATATTTCAGAATTACCTGCTTCACTTCACTTTTTAAAGAAACTAACAACACTATGGTATACTGTGTACTGTTATCAATAATCACATAACCTTTATATGTATCTCTCTCTGTCTAGTATTGATGGCAATTTGTTGAGAGATGTTGACAATTGCCTTGAGATGGTCTCACAGCTAAAAAGTAAGCAACTATAACTTCCCCCAAATTGTACAAGGAAGTTTGAAAACAAACTGATAGAATGGTAGACACACCACCACAGGAGTTCACACCTCTCTCTCTCTCTCTCTTTCTCCCTCTCTCTCTCACACTCTCTCTCTCACTCACACACACACACACACACACACTCTCTCTCTCTCTCTCTCTCTCTCTCTTTCTCCCCTCTCCTCTCTCTCTCTCTCTCTTTCTCTCTCTCTCTCTTTCTCTCTCTCTCTCTTAGTGGTCACAATGGCTGATAACCAGTTTGATACAGAGCCATATTGTGTGAAGCACAAAGCATACGTCATCACAGGTAATAATATATAACATACACACACACATAAACCACAGCAACACTGCATATACACCAACACATTAACTACCTCATCATCATTCGTTCACTTGTTGCTATCGTTGTTAACAATAATGTTGCCGTCAATATTGTTGTTGTTATTATTGTTGTTGTTATTGTTGTTGTTGTTTTTTATAAAAAGGTGTTGAAGGCAACCCGTACATAGCTGGTAATGGCAAGAGACATCAGGAGTTCTACTTAAGAAGGAGCTACAGTACAAGAGGTGTGTACAAATCACAAGAGAGCACACAGATCAGAAGAGTAAGTGAAATCATTACAGATGTACTACAACATCTCTTAAATGACTGGCAAACACAGTTGTGTGTATACCATGTATGAATTATTGTTTATCATAATTATAAGGAAGGATTTCATTAAGAGTAACACTCTTAACTACTCTCCTATCCAAAAATTGGTTCATTGTATGTATGGATCAATTGATAGTTGCTTATAGGCTCTGTCTTTATAAAGCATAATTTGGGAAAAGGCTATCGTGGGTCGCACTTATAATCATATTTACAAATGAATGTCAATTTCTACCAATTTGAGACCCAAACTTTCTACATGGGGATTTCTGTCCATACATGTAGTTAAGGCCTAAAACTTCTACTCATAGCAATATTGTATGTAAACTAACTTTCATTATAATGATGGATGGTTGAGCAAGTATATTCATGTATTATTGTTAACAATAAGCTTAAGCTGCCCAAGCAGTTAGCCTTTTGGCTGCTTCTAGCCATTGTTTGTACATTATCAAGCAGAATATAATAAATAATAATACTTGTTTTTTATAACGCTTTTTTAAATTTCAGGTATCAACTGCTTTTATGGATCCAGCAATACTACAGCAGCTTGATCACGAGCTCGAAAACAACAACGGCAGCCAATGATAAATATTAATATTAATGATTATATTATTATTATTATTACTGTTATTTATTGGTCAACTTTCACTTTATATGTCTCCCTGTTTGTTTTTATAACTTTCTTTCTTTCCTCTGTCATTATCGTTGTTATTATTTATTTCTAAATATTTTACGTCCAACCTTTGCTCACTATATTTATATGTCCTGTTTAATCTACTGCTTAATTATAAAATAATAAAAAAAAGAATAATGTTATACAGAAAAAGAATTAGAGAGAAGAGAAAGAAGGATGAAGTGAGAGAGAGGGGAAAGAGAATAAAGCAAGAGAAAGAGTTTAAGTGGAATGCGTCGCTGATTATGTATAAACTTTATAAATTCAAACATTACAGTCAGGAGGTAAAGAGTTCAAGGTATCTCTAAGTTTATCAGTTTCAGTTTCGATACTTGACAGTTCCAATTGTAATCTACTCAATTCACTCGCTACCGGCCCGTTTAAATGTGCCTCTAGTGACAATATCATGGCATCAATATCAACTGAATTAATTTCTGTTGATAAATTATTAATAAATAACTCGACAGTGTTAAGCAAATCAGCATCATGGTCAGGAGTGCTTGATAGAAGTATCGTTATATTGTCTAATCCAGCTGCTATTTCACGTCGCAGGGTTGTGACCTTAGCAGGTAGATCCGCCACGGAAGAGGTTTCGAAAACGTTTTGAGCTTGTTTGACTTGCTGAGCGGAATCAGAGATATTTGATAGAACGGAATCAGATTGCGCTAGTATCAGTGTTGTATCATTGATTGCTAATTCAGTTGAATTAAGTAGATCAAGTCCTTCTTGTAACAGCATTGATGCATTTGTATACAATTCATCAGTCACCTAGACAACAAAAAAAATAACCAATAATCATTTTAATTTTATTAGCATTAATGTACGTGAATGTTTTACTTTTAATAGTAATAATTAATAGATGTTCACACTGTGCTGTTACCAAACTCTCATGATTTTAAAAGTCCATGTGTGCAAACATTAAAATTAAAATGACCATACCATCATAATTAACTCACCATTTTCTGCTGGTTCGTATCATTAACAAGACCTAGTATATCTTCATTAGTTTCGAACAAGCGTTGAGTCAGATCATTCAGTAACAATGTTATATTACTAATACGATCATTATAAGCTAATACCTCAGTCTCTATCATCGTTATGTTATACTGGACATTATCAGCATTACTCCTTAATAAACTGATGTTAGAGCTAAAGAGTTGTAGCTGAGTTAGGACATTAGTACCGATTGATGTACACTTGCTTGAGGAGGAGAGAGAAGCTAAGGCATCGCTATAACTGGTCTTCAATCTGTCATTATAATCACAAATAGATTGACTGGTTGCATTCAGTTCAGCGTAAAGATTATGATATTCATTAGAATAGATACCAAGATCAGTAATCAGTGATGATAGAAGATCAGTAGCATTTGATATGTTAGCACGAAGCTGTTGTTCTTGTAAGGTTAGATTGCTAACTTCTATCATAAGCTCATTCACTTCTCCTTCATCTGGTACTGTAATAGAGTCAATACGATTCTCTGATTCATTCAATTCTCTTCTTTTATCTGCTAGTAATAATTGTAAGTCTTCTAGTGTAGCATTAGCAACACTTATTGACTGGATAAGTGACTCTACCGATGACTCGAGCTCAGTAAGATTATTAAGACTATCGTTATAGACTAAGAGCACACTATCAGCTACTGATAGCGTCCGCATAGATACACTCACTGCATCACTAGCTTCCATTGTTAGATCATAAAGTTCTGATTGAAGGTACTGGGTGTGATTAAGAGCCGAGTCTCTCTCAAGAAGCCCCAGTAGTGTATTATTGTGTATCGTCTCATTATATTGATAAGCCAAAGGCAAATAAGTGTTGTTAGTCAAGTTAAGTAGTGAGACGGAAGAGTACAAAGCTTTCTTTATATTATTAACGAGTTCTTCTGAAACTAAAGCACTGCTAATGACAGGGCTGGCTAGTCTATACCATCGCTGTATTAGCTCAGTTTCATTCGTTGTATTAATGCTATAAGCTTCCTGGCTTATGTTATAGAGATCTGAATTGAAGCTACTGTAATTCATGTTGAGTTCCAGTACGTCTTCGTAGAAAGAATCCACTAAGTCGTTGGCAATGGTTTCCTTTTCTTGAAAGCTATCACTTTCCATTGATGAATTGGCTTCGGTTCGGAGTAATGCTGCCTCAGTTATGTTGTATGAAGCTCTAACTTCATCAACGTCATCTTTTACGAACGAATAGCATGAAGGACACTCTGAGAGAGAAGAAAGAAGAGGTAACATGCATGAATGTGACAAAGGCCATCATGAAAATTGCTGTAACTCAAAAAAATTAAGTCGGAATCGGCTCAAACTTTTTACACAGCATAAGGACGTCAATATGTATCAGAAAATATAATAAAAATTGGGGGTGATTTTTTTAGCCATTTTTCAGAAAATACCCAAGGCTATAGCCTTGGGTATTTTTCAGATTTTCGCCTATTTCTTAAAATGGCCGTAACTTGAAAAATTTAAGTCAGAATCAGCTCAAACTTTCTACACAGCATAAGGACATCAATATGTATCAAAGAATGTAATAAAAATTGGGAGTCATTTTTTAGCCATTTTTCGGAAAATACCATGGGCTATAGTACAGGTTATTTTTCAGATAGCATAATTATTTAAAATTCTCATTACTACATGTAGTTGGAATCAGCTCAAACTTCAAAAGTATATAAAAAAACATCACATTTTCTGATATCTTACCAGAACAAACTCCAGTGGACTCATTCATGAAGAAGTTTTCACTGCATTGGTCACACTTATCTCCAAATACATTATCATTGCAAGAACAAAGACCTTGTCCATTACACTGTAGTGACAAAGAGCCAACCTCTGAACAATTACAGCCTATAAATAAATAAAAATAAATCAATAAATAACATAATTTGTTATAATTATATTGATACTAAAAACAGTACATAATAATAAAAAATAAAATAAAATTATAATAATTATCTTAACTGACTTTTGCATCCAGTGGGGTCCAAATCATAATAATACTCCAAGCAGACGTTACAATGGCGGCCAGTAACCCCGGGCTTACAATCACAGTCCCCTGTATCAGGATCACAGCTACCGTACGAACCAATCACATGACAGTCACATGACTCACACCCGACCCCATACGTCATGTTGTAATGTCCATAATGACACTCATCGCATTTAGTTCCATTAACATTGGGTAGGCAGTGACAGTCGCCATCAGAAGAACAGGAAGTGTTGACTGATCCTTCTGGGTCACACTCACAAGCTAAAATAATAATAATAATAATAATAATAATAATAATAATAATAAATGCAATATTTAATAAATAACTTACAGAAGCATTTAGGATTCATAGGTGAAGATGCATTGCCATAGAAACCATCTATGCAGCGCTCACACTGATCACCAATTGTATTGAAGAGACAGTTAGAACAGATACCAGTCACATTATCGCAACTCCTCCAGTCGTCAAAATAAATATTACTATTACACATACACTCCGTGCAAGGGGTTGGAGTACCGCTTTTATTGCCCGTCGGATCACCATAAAAATTAATTTTACACTCCTCGCACTGGTCACCAATGTGACCGTCTTGACAATCATCGCACCAAACCTCACCACTAGGCATCAATTGACAGGTTGGACTATACCGGCCTGGGGTAGTGGTTAAAGGACAAGGACAGGGAAGACAGGGAATCGATGATAACGGATCGCCATAGTAGCCAGGTAGACAATCTTGACAGTGATCCCCTGTAGTATTCGAAGAGCAGTTTATACAAATTCCATTCAATGGGTTACATGAACTAGCAAAGTCATTGCAATCGCAGGCAATGCAAGAGCCAGTGGGAGAAAGAGTGTAGCCATCGGAACAGGACTCACAGGATAATCCGGTATAATTAGGAGAGAGGCAGTTGCAAAATTCAACCCAACCGACTTCTACTTCTCCAGGTTTAATCGGGGCAGTACTCTCTAAGGTAATGGAGTGAATTGTAACAGGAATGCTTTGATTGTTACTAAGACTTCCTTTAATAAATAATCCAGTTAGATTATGTAGAACTGATTGTATTGTAAAGGCTGAAGGAGTGGACCAGTCCCAACCACTACCTTCAGTCAAATGTACTGACAATACTATCCCATCACCGATAGGCAGACTCTCATTATAATATACAGAAAGCTCAGTATCATTAGACGTTAGTTGTATTAATGGGGTATCAATGAATTCATCATTAAAACCAGCCATAGAGTAGTTAATGTATAAGTATTGACCATACGAACTGAGCTTGTTACCTAGAAAACTAGGCGGGGCAGAAAGATAAGAATCAGACGAATTACTGATAGTAATCCCGTCACTAGATATGCTTATTATACCATCCCCAATTAGATTCCAATCACTCAATCTGTTAGTGTAATTACTGATGATAATTAAAGAGGCGTACCCAGGGGCCGAGGTACAGGAATCACTAACGCCAGAGCAGTAACATGGCTGACAGCCTAACTCGTTGCTAGGTTGTAGGTTAAAAGTTCCGTCTGTGCATGCATCACATGTAGAGTTGGTGACGTAGTCTTTACAGCTGCAGTCACCATCACTTGAGCATGAGGATGAGTTAATAGAACCAGCAAGAGAGCAGTTACAATCACTAGAAATAAATAAATAAATAAATAAATAAATGAATAAATAAATAAATAAATAAATAAATAAGTAAATAAATAAATAAGTAAATGAATACTTAAATACTCAATAAATGTAATGATCATGATAATATTAAATAACTGCATGTACATGTATGTAGCATTTAAAATGACCATATATGGTATGCTTACCGGCAGTCAGGAAAGCCATATTGCTGCGGTTCACAAGAGTCACACCTCCTACCAACTACATCTCCTTCACAATAGCACTCACCCGTAACAGAATCACAGCTGGTATTAGTGGAGCCGACAGGATCACAATCACAAGGTAGGCACAAGGGATAGTTGTAATGAAGAGGAGAGCAGGAGTCACATGATCTGCCGATAATGTTCGGCAAACATGAACACTGTCCAGTTGATCGCTCGCATAAATCATCAGCCATTGAACCAGAAGAACTGCAGATACAAGCTATTGAAGAAAAAATAAGCATTATTATTATTATTATTAATACAATATTAATATTGATCAATCTTCAGTACATTAATGAAGGTAAAGTTGGTGAAACAAAAAGAATATCATCATCATCATCATTTTTATTACTTAATTGTAATTATTATTATTATTTGTATTTTTACTTTTTTACCTGCACAAGTGGAGGGTGAAGTGTAATAATAATAAGGTCTGCACTGATGGCAAGTCAGTCCAGTATAACCAGTTCTACAGGAACACTGCCCACTGTACGGGTGACATGTAGCATTAGCAATTGTACCAACAGCATTGCAGCCACACACTGTTGGAAAATAAAAAAATTATAATTTATAGTAAAATTAAAATTTAAGAGGAGGGAGAGAGAAAACTTACTGATTGTTCCATTAAAAACTTCAGCCATTACTGAAAAAGATACCCTGTTACACTGATTCTGCTGAGCCATACTGAGATAATTTCTCAGCGATAAAGAGCTATACCTCAGGACACAGTAATCATATACAGACAAGATACTGGTATCCGATAGTGTATTTAATCCAGATGCATTTCTGATTACCAGTACCAAAGAATCAATGTGCAGTATGGAGTATGAAGAACCAGGAATGAACTCGCCTAACGTCAGATTGTAAGATACTCCTTCTCTTAGACAAGCTCTGGCAGAAACACTTTGACCAGCTCCTATTGTCCAGTTGGAAAACAAGATCCTTTCGCCGTTAGCAACTTCAGAGCAATCAAGAGGAGAAGAGAGAGGAGATGAAAATAGATCACTATCAGTTTCTATTAAAAGTTCAGCTGATTCCCATCCAGTGAAGCTCAGATGTGAGTAACGAATGATGATCTCGTATTCTCCACTGATTGGCGGGACAAACCCATCAAAACTAATGTAGCTACCATTAGTGACATTCACGGTAGCAAAACCGGTAAATAAATTATTATTATAATTTACATCAAATTGACCATAGCCTTCCTCAGCTTCTAGTGTATAATAATCGAAAGACGGTGTGAACGTGCCCTCAACTGGTTCTGAACAGGTTTTACCGGTAACACCAGGTCTGCATGTACAGTATCCGCTGGAGTTACATTGGGGAGATAAGGCTCCGCCTACATCACACCCACAACTCGTGCAAGTATTGGGAGAGGATTGATAGTAACCATAGCCACAGCTGCTGCATTTGTCACCAACAGCATTAGGAACACAAGAGCACTGCCCATCATCAGTACATAATGGAGAAAGACTAAGAGAAGAATGGCAACCACAATCTAGAGAGAGGGAGAGAGAGAGGGGGGGGAAGATAAATTTTAAAAGAGGAGGATGGTAAATGTGTGGGGGCTATAAAGTTCAGTACAATTATTCATGTCAACATTAGAATTTCAGTAACGGTAATGAATACTAATAAGCTCGTTATGAATATAATAGACCACACCTACTACCCACACACATACATGTACATGTACACAAACAATTAAACGTACCTTGACAACCATCAGGATTAGCTGATGATAGATTATAAGTTCCATTAACACACATACTGCAATCAGGACCTTGAACATTTGATTTGCATGAACACTGACCAACAGCAGCTGTACAATTGATACTAGCATTAGCTGTACCAGCTGTATTACAACCACAAGCTACAGAAATTAAGGAGAGATTGGAAGAGAGAGAGAGAGAGAGAGAGAGAGAGTAAAGAAAGGATGTCATTATGAATTGCAAATGCGAGACAATCCAAAACATAATTCATTCAAAAACAGAATCATACCCATTGTGTGTGGCCAGGGGACAAATAAAAAATGAAATAAAAAAGCCATAAATAATCAAATAAATGAATAAACTCACACTTGCAATAGTTCACAGAAGATACCGAGACATTAGCCTGTGGGTAATACCCAGGAGCACACTCACTGCAGTGAGGACCAGCTGTGTTATGAGTACAGTTAATACATCGACCGCCACTACCAGTAGAATCATACAGTGAAGCATCAAATACACAAGAAGATGTGTGATTGTTGCAGTTGCAGGCTGAAAAAGAGAGCAGCATAACATTAATTCATAAATTAGTATGCAAGATTTGTTGCAAACAATTTGTTCCATGCAACACAGTTCATACAGGAGTCAATGGGTCTTGCAACATGCTGCATGAAACAGTTCTATTTCATGCAACATGTTGCAAGCTCCATTGACTCCTGTATAAACTTTCTTGCATGCAACAAATGTTTCATAGTGCATGTTGGGGCTTTACTTACCTTTGCATTTAAAAGGAGCCCCACCATTAGATATTTGCCAAGGAAGATCATGGTAGAAATCTTGACATCTCTCGCAATTATCCCCAGCAGTATTATGCTCACAGTCGCACAACCAATACCCATTAATCTTATTGCAGTCACTTGCATGACCATGACACTGACATTTACCTAATATAGCAAAGTCCTCAAGACCATAGAAATACTCGGAACCATTAACAGCCAAGGATGAAAAACCCTCAAACAAAACCTCAATCCGTTTCGCAGTCACAAAGTCATAGAGATCATGACTTAGCCCAGGGATTGTATCATAGTAAGACGGTCTATCAAGTGCAGTCACAAAACTCATCTGTCCAGGAGAAGAGTCATCTATGGGCTGGCATAAAGCTGAAGTCTCGTTAGCAGGTAGCAAGTGAGTCTCAGGATCAATGGAGTAAGTGTTTATGCAGTCAGTGGAGAAGTAATGAAAAGGAGTGAAGCCCTGAGTCGTATTGATGCTTCTCAATATTCGAAAAGAGGATGGTTTGAGAGACACAAAATCAAACCTAATGACTTGTATTTGGACTATAGTTTCCATGGTAATACGTAAGGTAACAGGGGTAACATTGAGCTCAGACTGCCAAGGGATGGAAGGAATAAGAGGACTAAAGAAATCCGTAATAGCAGAGGGTGAATCCTGCCCTTGGCTGCAATCATTGCAGGTCAAACTATTGTTAGGGAGTCTAAGGCAGTACTGGGTACCTGGGACACAGCTGCTGCTAACGAAAGGAGTGATGTCAAAAGAGAAGGACTCTTGCTCCGGCTCACATCTAATTGGGATGGAGCCATTGTAGCATTGTGAGAAGCTGGACAGTTCTACTCTAGAACAGTGGAGCAGTAATGCCAACAAGAGGAGCATCCTTCTAATAATCATCTTGAATGAGAAGGAGAGAGAAGACAGAAAGAAGAGATGTGCCTGCAAATTTCTGCAAGTTTGAGCTACTCCCCTTTTGCTAAAAATACGTTGCTATGACCGTTGCTATGGGAGTGTTCTTAATTGTATTCATAGTCATTAGAAATTATAATTTTCAGCTCATTAATTATTCATGACTTCTTTCTTGAACTAGACTAGCCTGTAATGAACAAAAATCATTTACAAGATCAATAAATACTATAATTACTTCAAATTGAAGCGAATTTTTAATAGATGAAAGAAGTACTTTAACAGGATTAAAAACTTTAATTAACTAAAAAATAAATAATATTATATCACGTACTGAGCATGTATATATAACCTGTAAGATTGGAGGAGTGTCCTTCTTCTCTGAGCTCCATATCAACTGAAGCTGAGGAGATTCACATCCTTTATCCTTCAATAACTCGTACTTGTAACTGTCCAGTGACAATTTCTGGAAGGAGAAAGACAAGAACAGGTTCAATAAAACAATACAGGTTAGTAAACCAGTGTTTGGGGGTATAGTATAACTATTATTACTTGACAATATATTCTTTTAATAATTCCTAGCTCTGGTAGCAAAACGTCAAATGATTTATCCAAAACAGCACAGACAATGCCTTCTTGATCAATAGGACCACACTTCTAATGCAATAAAATAAAGGATAGTAATACTTATTTATTTAACTGACTCTGATAAAAACGCCTAAAAATAGGCTACTACTTAGTTCCTAAAAAAGAGAGGGAGAGAGAGAGGGAAGAAAGAGAGAGAAATGTTTTATTTTAAAATGTGGCACTCTCCTCATTACTTCTGCTGTCTTTGCATTCTTCCTCTTCTTATTGCAGTGATTAGCAAAATCCTCAATATCTGGAGGCAAATATTTTGGCGCATCTTCTTCACCAAGAGCAGCTGCCAACAACCTACACACAAACCACATAATTATAATGTGTAATAGTTGACTATACCTGTGTACTATGATGTCCGGGTATCTCCTGATAGGAGAGGTGAAATGGGTATAGCGAGGGACGTTGAGAGCATAATGGCGGAACTGCTCCTCCTTGTATACTGACGTACAAAAATAGTGAGCCAACTAGAAATAACAAAAAATTACTTTTAAATATTCACTCTCTTTTTTCCCTCCAAAAATGACTTATAATTTTAATTGAATCTTTCTCTCTCCAAAAATTACTAATAATAATTGCAATTCTCTCTTACCTCCATAGCTCTACAGCATAAACTGACTAGTACAAGCTTCTCCATTTCCAGTTTCTTGTCCCCTTCTTTTCCTTTACTAATATACCGATTCAAACTTTTCTATTATAATAATAATAATTAATAATTGTTATTAATGGAGTGGGTGTGGTTTGCAGATCATTAATTATTCATTACTTGAATGTCGGCAGCAGTTGAGCACTCAAATTGAACTCCTAATAAATTAAACTGATCCCTCTAAAGAGAAGGAGGGGGAGGGGCTACATAATGTATTTTTCATTTTCAAATCTCACTGACCAGGTGCTCTATTGCTTTTCCTTTAGGTGGAGGATGGCGTCTCAACAAAGCTAGTTCAGGAAAGGTCTCTGATATTTTATGAGCAACAGCCATATTAGCTAATAACATACACTCTTCTATCATCCTACAAGAACAAGTTATTATGACAATATACAAATGGTTTCTTACTTGTTGCTTTCTTTATGTTGGTAGATGTGGCAGCCATTAGGGAGGCCAGTGCCGGAATCAATATTAAACACAAGCTTAGGCTAATATTAATAAATTAATAATAATAAATGTGGGTGTGGTTTCTTTATTACTTGATCAAGTCTTAAAGATCCACGGGTTTGTCTTAAAAATCTCAACCTTTTAGTAATCTAAAATAATAATTATTAAAAATAAAATAAAATAAATTATTTACCTTATTTAATCTGTTCACTGATTCAACTATGTCTGATATTACTTCAGTCACTAATTAATAATTAATTGACAGTTATTAACTATTATTATTAATTACCTGGAATGCATGGGAAATCACTGTGCTGCCATGAAAACTGTGGATCATCAATCATTTTCTATAAAAGTATGGAGTAATCCTATATCTTTAATCTCTCTCTCTCTCTCTCTTACTTGTGCATCTTCATAACTTAGTTTTGCTTTGCTGTGTATGATAGATCGACCCATCCATTCATCCAGTAACTAATTAATATTCATTAATATTAATTAATTAATTAACATTACCTCTCCTTTTTCGGTAAGCTTCCAAACAACAGAAAATGTTAATCTATCCTGAGAGAGAGAGAGAGAGAGAGGGAGATGGAGAGGGAGAGGGAGAGGGAGAGAGAGAGAGAGAAAGAGAGAGAGAGAGAGAGAGAGAGAGAGAGGGAGAGAGAGAGAGGGGGAGAGAGAGAGAGAGGGAGAGAGAGAGAGAGAGAGGGAGAGAGAGAGAGAGAGAGAGAGAGAGAGAGAGAGAGAGAGAGAGAGAGAGAGAGAGAGAGAGAGAGAGAGAGAGAGAGAGAGAGAGAGAGAGAGAGAGAGAGAGGAGAGAGTATTTTTAGTGTTTCTATTATTACCTGCTGAGGATTCAAGCTGCATAACTCCTCACATAAAATCCTAGGTAACATCGGAATAACCTTCAAAAAAAAAGAAATAAAAATCACAGGAGCACCACCAATGAATGATCATACATTTTGTACAAGGTATACACTAGTTGCTCTCTCTGACGCCATTTTATCTAAAAGAGTACCAGGACGTACGAAATAGCTGACGTCAGCAATATGAACACCCAATTCAAACACACCTAGAGAGGGTTTAAATCAATTAATTCATTAATAGTTGTTAAAAGTACCATTGGATAAGCTTTTACAGTGTATAGCATCATCAAGATCCTATTATTAAATTAATAATAATAATAATTATTATTAATCGTACTCTGGCAGTTGATGGATCAATGGTAAAGACACAGTCGCTACGGAAATCCCTCCTCTTAGCAAGCTCATCCTATGAATAACAATAACAAATAAATAAATAAATGATAATAATAATAATAATAATGTATAATGTCCCTTTGAATTTGAGAATTTTCTCTTAGCCATTTTTAATGAAATACACTGTACTATTAGTCTATAGTAAAGGGACTTTTTTGATTTTGAAGCAACTTCAAATATTCATAAGAAATCCAAATTTGATCAGAATCATCTCAAACTTTCTACACATGGTACATGTACATACATGTACATGTATAACATTCACACATTCAGTATATACACATACTATATACAAGTACATGTGTACATACTTTACAGTTCACTCACCTGTGGTATGGTCCATTGTCCATTAACTAGTGGCAATGATTCAGTTGCTGCAGGTGGAAACTCATCAGTGTCAATATCATACTCAGTTAGGATGGACTCAGTCTCTGGAACTATGTCACCAGCCTCACCAATGCTACGTAACAACTCACTAAAAGAAAAACAACAACAACAACAACAACAAATAATGCAGATTCTTCTCACTCCCTTTCTCTCTCCCTCCCTCCCTCTCTCTCTCACCCAGTAGGAAAAGGATCAGTGATCTTCCAGTCTTTTATCCTACATATAAATAACGATTTCTCGTATTTTTTGTGATTGCTTGCATAATCTTCAGGAAGACAGCTCAAAGGTACGACGGTCCTTGGCTGCCGACTGTCCCGAGGAGAGAATAAGGCAAGACCGAGAGACTAAGGAGTTTCAAAATTAATTATTATTATCGGCAAATCATGTAATAAATTAATAATTACTTTATTAAAAATTTTAAAATAACCAGCAGCAGCACGCCGGCCACTTGCTTGAATTATATACACAACCTAATAATAATAATAATAATAATAATAATAATAATAAATACAATTAAATCTCTTACTTTAGCTGTTCTTGTATAAACTCTTAATGATTTAACATTGTCTTCTAAAATAGGTTCGTCTACAGTGGTTTTGACCACACCCATTGACTTGCTGCTCCCATAAAGGGCATCAATTAGAGTAGGTTGGTCAGTTTCCTCGTCAGCAGTAGCTACTGGTGAGATCTCGTCCGAGTCACTCTAATTATAAGGATTCTAACGTAATATTAAAATATTCTTAAACCTCTGAACTCAAATCTTTAATATTTGACACCTTCATCTTCTCGTCAGCTCCGTTCTGAAGCTAAGAATAAGTTAATAAATAAAAATAATAATATCTATTTATTATTATTAATATACCCATTCATCAGGAGGTAATACAGAAAAAGCGACTTCATCTCCATCCATTGCCCTGTTTCTAGGCCACGCCCCCAGGACAATATAATCAGGACCTCCCATCTACAAATAAATTAAGACGTCAATTAGAATAAAGCGGGCATTAAATAGAACCCTAACTGGATCACTGATATAAGCTCTGCTATAGTCAATGGCACTGATTCTGAATATTCCCTATGAATATTAATGAGCTCCGCCCACCCAATTAATTACGATACTTGTAGTAATGTCCCTTTCTTGAGGCCAGCCGATACCTCGCTCTTGGGCCAGTAGTCTTCAAACGGCTGTTCGGATGTGTCATGTGAAGATCATGTGATTAGAATTAGCTTACCGGCTCTTGTGTTTTCTTAAATATATCATTTTGGGGAGTTTTGCTAGCTCCCTTAACTTTTCCTTTTGCTTCACTGCCTGCAAAATGTAGAATAATAAATAAAATAATAATTAAGAATTTACGCGTTTTCTTTGGAGTAGGAGCTGCCGCCATATTGTGAGTTTACACAAGATTACAAGTGAAAGTGCCCGGAGTATTACTGTAAATGGCACGGAGTAGTTTTCGGAGTAGTATCATCCTGTCTCGTGGTTCCACCGTATATTCTGGTAGCTGAGGATGTGGTAGAATAAATTTATGTTGTATTTTGATAGTATTTTACCTTCTTGGAAGAGGATGATGAAGAAACTAGAGCTAGAGGATGAGACCTCTATCACGAGTAACCACGAGTTCAATGGATGGAACTTACCCGCGTAGAGTTAGAGCGCATGCGCAGATTGAGTCCGTATACTTCTAGTGTAACGGAAAATCCCGAGTTTAATTATTATCGATGAATAATTAATGAATGAATTTGTTTATTTATTCGTTTCTATGGCAACTCAACATGGCGGACAAGAGCTCCCTCTCGTTAGATCACATAAATCCTCTTCTTCCTCGTCTTCAGGGAGCACCAGGGAAAGGAGAGTCGTCCTACGTAGCAAGAAAAAGTCAACCAGCCAAGAATCATTCTCCTCACACCGCTCAATAGAGCACAGAGGCCACATGGTCACATCTACTCCTCTACAACCAATCAGGAAACACCAAGAGAGGGGGAGAGAGGTAGTTATTAATACTAGAAACGACACCAGTAGCTGTAGCAGTGACGATAACATGTATTCTCCCAATACAACACATTTCCTGCCTCCAATATCAATGCTAACTCAGTCAATTTCTCATCAACCCTCTCGCCATTCCTTCCTTAATACTTCCCCCCACTATCCACTTTTAACCGTACCCATACAAGTCTCCGCCTCTCCGACCACACCTACTATATCTCCACTACCTCAGTTACTGACACACACGGTCCGGAGTCAGTTTTCTCCTGATAGTGCTGATCAGGTCGGAGGAGGGGGCGGAGTCATACAGAGCCTCCTTCCTGACTGTAATTTGAAGATATTCGTGGGAACATGGAACATGCATGAAGAAAAGGTACGATATTTAAAATATTTTAATTTTATTTAAACAGTACAGTCTAGTAATTTGTATTTTTGAAAAAATTTCTTTTTTTTTCTTTTAGTCTTTGCCAGTATCAATTGATGATTTTATATTACCGCTGAGTCAGCAAACGTTAGCTGACCTTTATGCAATAGGAACACAGGAATCAACACCACTGAAGTAATGAATATTTAATTATTTTAATTAATTTATCATTATTATTATTATTATTATTATTATTATTATTATTATTATTATTATTAGAAATGATTGGGAGGTATTGCTTCAGCAGACTCTTGGTCCGTCTCATGTCTTAATCCACAGCTCCTCTCTCGGCTGCATTTATTTGTGTCTCTTCTTAAGGAGAGACCTCATCTGGTTTTGTTCAAGTAAAAGAGGAGAAGAGAAGAGAGAGGAAATAGATTGAGATTATAAATTTATAATATGTGACTGGAACTGATAAAATGTATTGGTAATGCTTAGGTGTTTTATCAAGCAGTGTTGCAACTAGACCAGTAACTGCCATTAAGACAAAAGGAGCAGTTGCAGTTAGACTGAGCCTCTTTGGATCATCCTTTCTATTCATCACATCTCATTTTAGTGGTAGAGAATGTTACATTATTGATTGCATGATGCCCACTTTTCTCTTTCTATAGCTGGTTTTAGTAATGTCATGGATAGAAATGCAGATATGCACAAGATTGCTAGCAATCTGTCATTCCCTGGAATAAAGACAAACAGTAAAAACAACATTTTAAAGTTATTTTCTTAATTATTGCATTTGAAGGATTGTTAGAATCTCATAATTACGTGTTTTGGTTTGGAGATTTCAATTATAGAGTTGAGCTTGAGAGAGAGACAGTTGATGATGCCATACAGAACAGTGAACTTATGGTAACTTGTACATCATTATCATATTAACCATCTTCATACTCCCTCAGTCTTTATTACTGAATGATCAGCTAACAAGGGAAATACTAGCAGGTAGGTAGTACATTTATATTAGTTATTATTATTATTTATTTATTTTTTATTTTTTTAACTATTAGGGAATGTTTTTAATGGATTCTCTGAGCAGCCAATCTCATTCCCTCCCTCATATAAATTTGATATCAACAGCTATTGCTATGATACATCTGATCTAGTTAGGATACCATCTTGGACTGTGAGCTAATAATATCATAATGAATGTACATGTACATGGAATGAATTCTGAATTTCTTTTTAAAAATGAAATTTTAAATCAAAAAATTAGATGTACATGTACATTTATGTAATGTACATTAATTTTCAGTTATACATGTTTCCTGTAATTTATTCATTAATAGGACCGTGTACTCTTTCTTGCTAATGATGGAAGGATTATTAGTGGGTCTGGATATGATTTATGTCCATCTATATTAATATCTGACCACAGGTATTTTTGAACTAATTTATTTTTAATTATTGTTATTAATTGTAGGCCAGTCTATGCGATATTTAATGCTGTTATGGAATCTAAAAGTGACATATCTACAGAGTTAGTTTAATGATTACATTTTGTTGTTGTTTATTTTGTTAATGTTTTTTGTAGATTACCAACTAGTTACAACAGGGAGCTATATATAAGAGGTAAATATACATGTATAATATCCTAATTTCCCCTCTCTCTCTCTTCTCTTGTAGCTTTGCAAAGAAGGAAGCAGCTCTTTTCAACTAAGCCACTTCATCCAGTGACCAGTAATGTCAGTTCATCAAGTAAAAATAAACCTTTCCCTTCAACCACTGCTTCTGCTCCTCCTCCTACTGTCAGTAGAAATAGTGCCAAATCAAGTTCTGTATGTCATATACTTTAAATAAATATCATTATTATTATTATTGTTGTTGTTGTTATTATTATTATTGTTATTATTATTTTTTTATGTAAATAACTTAATCGGTGACATATTTTGCCATCTCTCTCCTGTTACTGCCCACTTTGCCATGCCAGACCTCTTCTTTTCTCTCTCCTCTCCTCCTCCTTCATGATACTGTCTCCTTGATTTGTGCACATTTGCTTGAGTCTGTGGTCTTGAAACTGACCCTTTAATTATCTTCCTTTTACAAGCTGAGTTCATTCCTCCACCAGCCCCTGGTGGCCTCCTACAAGATCCACTAAAGTACACACTCTCTAGCTTCTGCAGTTTCTCTGTAATAGTATCTGCTTTATTTCTTTCTCCTCTTGTTGTGACAGCTCTCTCTGTTCTTGGCTTCATTTCTTTATTCTTTTCTATTGCAGAAACATCAGAAGAAGCAGAGCCTTCTCTAGTTCCTTCTCTAGTCCCCGGCCTTGAGTAGTGATAGTAAATGTTACGAGATATTCTCCCATTAAGGAACCCTCTCTCCATGAAGTCTTTGGCCCACTTGTGCGAGTGCAGACCCAGTGAATCAGCTGTCCTCCGTATTACAATATCTTTCTTAATACCTGTATCAGCCATTAGATCAATTGGATATGGATCAGGCCATGGCTCAGAAGTCGAATGACTACAGCTAGCTTCAGCTTCATGGAGATGCTGTTCTTCATCTTTTTCTTTCTTTTCTTCTAGTTCTGAGATCTTGTCTCTCTCATCTTTTTTCTCCTCTCCCTCCTTGTCTCTCTCTGATCTATTATTGATATTTAAGTATTTTGATATAGAAATTGTCGAAGGATCTTTCCTCTCTTTCTTTATTGGTTTAGAAAGAGCTGAAAAGTTATGCTCCTGGTGCCTTGATGACTGTCTCGATGAAGACTGCCTTGATGGTTGCCGGCTTGAGTTCAAATGCCTTCGATTCTAACAATGCAAGGATAAATTGTTGTTATTAGCATGAAGTATGATTTTTGGCGCTTACTTTGTCTGCCAAATCGACAAGTTTGGTTTCTTTACTGTGAAAGGGATTGTGATAAATAGCAGTTATGTTTGAAAATGATGTTTATCTTACCTGTCACTTGCACCAGTTACCATTAATGATTCAGCAACTCTATCCATCTCACCTGATCTCCTCATGTTTGTTGAAGCTGTCTTTGCTTTGCTTAAATGAACCAGAGTTGGTTTGTGGATGGAGTCCTCTACTCCAAGCTTGCTTGCTAAACTATGTAGCCTATGATTAGGGGGGTTAGTCTGAATGTCACATAATTCATTGCTGCAATCATTTTCTTCTAATTTTCTGTTTGATTTCCTGCTGTAGTCATTCCTAGTGGTGCCACTTCTTCTCCTATGCATTGCTTCACTCACTGCTTCGTGAGTGCTGTCAGATTGCTCTGGTAGCTCCTGCAGTAGCGGTTCTTTCTTTTTTGACGATATTAAGAGAAAACTGAATGAGCAGTGATTGATGTAATGGCTCAAGTGATCATCAATGTCATCACTGTGCTTGAATGAATATTGCTCTCTCCTTTTGGTGAGTCTAGAATTGAGTCGAGAGGAGTAAAGACGATTGCAGGAGCTCTCTCTACTCTGCAGTGCCTGTCTGTTTGCAGCCTGCAAGTGCTGTGATGATATGCTCAGCTCTTGCTTTGCTTTTTTGTGCTCATCAATCCTCCAACCAGTAATGCTCATTTCATCCACAATTGCCGTATAATAGCTCCCCAGGGCGTCCAGCGTGTGCACTGAAGCTGATTCTACGGTACTGTAGCACTCAATGGTAGCAGGTTGCAGCAGAGACACTGGTGGTAATGTTCTTAGATCAACTGTAGGTTCTTTTCTTCTTATTATTTTAGCTGTTCTTCTTCTCACTACTGCAGTAGCTGCTGTATTACCGGTGCTGCTAGTCTCTTCTGTTCCATCATCTAGAAAGCTCTTCTTTCTCTCTTCATTTCGCTTTTCCATGATTTTTCCTGCAGCACTGCCAGCCCCACCCACAACGACGCACCCGTATAACTCCGTATACTAAAAATTAAGTAGCCACACCCAAAGCAACTCCACCCAATAGCAAAAAATTAGCAACAAAAATTAATAACATTATTATTTAAAATTAAAAGCATTATTGGTTATTATGAATGAAGTTTGCAAATGCTAAGTTTTCTTTCTTGATAGATATCTTTCTCTGGCAGCTTTAGCTTTTTCTTGTAATCTCAATGCATTCTCTCTTTCCTTCTCTTCCTTCTCTAGCGACTGCTTCTTGCTAACAGGTCCTTCCTCCTCTTTCTCTTCCTCCTCTCCCCCTAGACTCCTCTTCCTCTCACAATCACTGAGTCTATAAGCATCAACTTCATGTAATCGAGGCAGTAAGTCTTTAACCCATCCATATCTCACAGGGCAGACAGTCCTCAGGTAAGTCTTGGCAGTGTCTACTATCTCGTGATAAACGATCCAATCCAGTGAATCCTCACATCCAAATAAAACCGATGAAGGATGTATAAAAGCAACAGTGCTATGCCCGTCCATAGTTCTAAACGAGCGTCGGTTTGGAGCTAGTCTAGCTGCGTTGCTGAATAATCCGAAACATAATGACTGACGTACTCTCTCTCCTAATGGAGCAGCTCTAATCTCTTCAGTACTATCCCCCAAAACCTCCTGCTTGTTTAGTATATTCTTTAGTTGTCCGACTATGCTTTGAGCTGTCTTGAGGCTCCGCCAGTGGACGTAGTTGTCCCTGCACCACCTCTTCTGGTTCCCACTCTCCATTGCTAGTTTATAAATTGCCAGTAAAGTAGCAAAATCGCTAGTGCCCCCACCAGCCTCTTGAAGCTCTTTATGTGCTTCCATAGACTCCAGGGCTTGCTTCTTTGAGCTTGGACGAATGAATACATTTTCAACTGAAAGCATTGCTACAATTGGTAGGACTGCTTCTTCACATTCTAGGGATTTTGATTTAAGGAGAACTCTGGAGAGATTCGGTTGTAGAGGAAACTGGACTATCTGTCTTCCTAAAGGTGTTACTTGGCCTTTATCATTGATTGCATCAAAGTAGTAGAGTTGTTTAAGAGCTTCGGCAATCATTCTCTCTTCCGGTGGATCGAGATACTCAAACTCAATGACATTACTGATCCCCATACACTTGAAATCAAGTATCACACTGCTCAGACTGGCCCTCTGTATCTCCGGTATTGTATTCTGATTCAACGAGTTATAAAATGATTGACTATACAGCCTATGACACTCACCAGGTGCTGTACGACCAGCCCGACCAGCTCTCTGCTCTGCCTCACTCTTTGATATAGGAACTACTGCCAACACGTCTAGTCCAGTACGAGGATTAAATGATAATTGTTTGACATAACCCGAGTCGATAACATAAACCACACCATCTACAGTCACTGAAGTAGCAGCGATATTAGTGGATACTATAATTCTTCTTATTCCTCTCTCGCTCTGTTTAAAGATCCTCTGCTGTTGCTCAGTAGGTAGTGACCCATATAAAGGTAATATAGCGAGGCCAAGGACGTCTTTGCATAGGACGTCATGTTCATAATCTATTCTCTCAGCTGATTTGAATAACTTGTCACACATCGATTCTATTTCTTGTTGTCCAGTAAGGAATACCAGTATATCCCCTGGGCCTTTCTCCATGTGAGTGTCCATCACTACCTGTTCTACACGAGAGAGGTAACTGGTCTTCATCGGGTCAAAAGTCTCGTCTGTGAAAGAGTAGTGGATTGATACCGGGTAGACCCGACCTGGTATCGTAAAAATAGGACAATTATCAAAAAACTCCGAGAATCTCTTGACATCAAGTGTCGCCGACATTACAATTAATTTGAGTGGGCGGTCCCTTTGTTTGAGTGACCCATCGCCCAGTGGGTGTGGCAGTAGTCTTTTAGTGAGTCCGAAGAGTACGTCAGTTGCTAAACTTCTCTCGTGTGCCTCATCCAATATAATAATACTGTAAGAGGAGAGGGTGTGGTCATCAAGTAACTCTCGTAATAGACAACCATCTGTCATGTACTTGATTTTAGTATCGGGCGAGGTACAGTCGTCAAATCTCACTTGATACCCTACTGTGCCACCTAGGCTCTTACCCATCTCTTCGGAGACCCGGTGAGCCACCGAAATGGCAGCCATTCGTCGTGGTTGTGTTATCCCTATCATTCCTCCTTCTCCTAGGCCAGCCTCGTGCAAAAACTGAGGGAGTTGAGTGGTTTTACCGCAGCCAGTTTCACCAGTGACCACTAGTGTCTGGTTCTCTCTCACGCTAGAAACCAGGGCTTCTCGATACGTGGCGATTGGAAGCTTGCTCTGAGACGCCATTTTATTTTTAATAATTTAAAACCACACCTATACTTAATAAGCAACTGTGACCACGCCTACTTGTTAAACTGTCCACACCTTTTTTCTAATTTGTAATTTGAAGAAGAAAGGGAGTCTTTAGTTCCTTCTCTCGTTTGTTTTCAGGTTAGATAAAATGGTGGAAGAAGAGGAAGATCATAACTCTACTCTTAACGGAGGAGAAGAATTGTGAGTGAGAAATAGAATGAAAAAAATTAATTAATTTTATAAAAATTATTAATAATTGTCACATTTCTTAGCTCTCATTCGTCCGAAGAACGTTTAGAATATGACTTGACCTCTTCAATATCGAGCGAGATAGAGACACCAGGTAGCCACACCCCCTTTCATTCCGTTACATGTTAATGTGTCACAGGTACTAGACCTACTCTGACCAGTGCTGGACGGATATCACCGCATCGTGTCAGATCATTGAGAGATCAAGAATCAGTGAGATCTCAAATCAACTATTAATTGCGTCTATCATTAACTTGAATCATTAATCTCTCTCTTTAGCAATTGCAAGAATTAAAAAAAGAGAATTTTGGTCTAAAATTGAGGATATATCATTTGGAAGAAGCACTGAGAAAAAGACACGGGGACACTAATGAAGATTGGGAGATGGTGGGTGTGTCCTTTGGTCATGTGACTGTCATGTGATCTCGTTAATAATGATAGAATATTCAATTGAATGTTCAAGTTGACGAGATGAAGCAAGAAATGGCAGACAGAGAGTCTTTATTAACAGATGCCAAGTATAATTATTACATTATTAATTATTATTATTTAATTTTTTTCTTTCTAAGAAATGCAATTGATGCCTTGGATAGAAAAGTCAAAGAAGTAAGTTGTAATGCAATGGAGAATAACTAATCTAATTATTAATGAATGTACATGTACATCTACATTGTACTTCCTGCCTCTCCTTTCTACTCTCTCTCTCTCTCTCTCTCTCTCTCTCTCTCTCTCTCTCTCTCTCTCTCTCTCTCTCTCTCTCTCTCTCTCTCTCTCTCTCTCTCTTTCCCTCCCTCTCTCTCTCTCCCTCCCTCCCTCCCTCCCTCCCTCCCTCTCCCTCCCTCTCCCTCCCTCTCCCTCCCTCTCCCTCTCTCTCTCCCCTCTCTCCCCTAATAGTTAGAGAATGAGCTCCTAATGGCCAACAAATCATTAGCTCAAGTCCATCAGTTGCAAGACACCATAAGACAATTACAACAAGTGATGATTATTAATTATTATTAATTGATTAGTAATAAATATAAATATTAAAATTAGGAGGCAAGGGAATATCAACTGAGTTTAAACGAAGCACAGAGACGAGCTGTAATTAATTTAATTAATAATGATATTAATGATCATATTTAATAGGCTGAAGAGAAGGAGAGAGGGGATAATTTAGAAAACGAGTTAATTGAATTAAGAGAACAATTAAAGAACATGCAACCACAGGTGCTTAATTAATTATTCATTAACAACAGCACATTAATTTTTAATTATTATTATTATTAATTGTTATTAATTAATCAGGTCCCATTAAAAACTACTGCTAATGTTAAAGTACAAACAATTGAACCAGTGAATGAAGAAGTAAGAGAGAGAGAGAGTGTGTGTTTATTGTTTAATTATATTCTTTTTTTAAAGTTGAAGGCACTGGAGGAGGAGCTAAAGAAGATTAAGAATGAGTTGGATGAATCAAGAGAAGCCTGTGACGTCAAAGACAAGAAAATACAAGAGCTCGAAATGGAGGTCCTCCGGGTCAGTAATCGAATGGCTGCCATGGCAACAGACCATGCCCAACAGATGCAGACACTGACAGATGAGATCCATCAACTCAAAGTAAAAAAAATTAATATTTTACTTAAAAATTAAACATCTACTAGAGGCATAACAAATTTAAATTGTAATTTCTTTGTCTCTCTTCTTTTTAAAGATACGGTTAGATGAGAAAAATGATTTGTTGCAGAAGAGAGACAACGAGATCATTGAATTGAACCGACAGTTAAGAGAACTCCAGAGACAACTGAGAGAAGAGGCTGATACTAATAACCACCTGAAGAACAAACTAACTGTAGCTGAGGAGGAGAACCAAGAGAAAGAGAGAGAAAATGAAGTTAGGAAGAGAGAGAGAGAAAGAAAGAAAAAAGGAGAGAAGGGAAGATGGAGGAGGAAGATTATGGAGTTAGTTTATAGTGGTTTTTTTGTTTTTTTTTAGGATTTGCGTAGAAAGTTGCGCAATTTAAAAGACGAATTGGAAGACTTGAGAAGCAAAATAGCCGGACTGGAGAGAGTCATAAGAGAGAAGGATGAAGAAATTGAAGTAAAAGAGAGAGAGAATCATTATTAAATTTCATTTTTTTTCATTTCAGAATTTGAAACGACAGTTAAGGCACAGAGATACAGAAGTAATTAAATACTATTTTTATTTATTAATTTTATTTATTTATTAGATTGAGGGGCTCAAGGCTTCATTGTCACAGCTGAGAGCTGAGTTGGCGGAAAAGAATAAATCATTATCAGCTGCAAGAACTGCAGCACACAGTACCAACATCAGCTCACAGGAGGTGGGTCTGGAGTATTTAAAATGGCCGTAACTTGAAAAATTTAAGTCGGAATTAGCTCAAACTTTCTATATAGCATAAGGACATCAATATGTATCAGAAAATATAATAAAAATTGGGGGTGATTTTTTGGCCATTTTTTGGAAAAAACCATGGACTATAGCCTTGGGTATTTTTCAGATTTTGGCCTATTTCTTAAAATGGCTGTAACTTGAAAAATTTAAGTCGAAATCGGCTCAAACTTTCTACACAGCATAAGAGCATCTATATGTATCAGAAAATGTAATAAAAATTGGAGATGATTTTGGAGTCATTTTTGAAAAATACCATGGGCTATTGCCTTGGGTATTTTTCAGATTTTGGCCTATTTCTTAAAATGGCTGTAACTTGAAAAATTTAAGTCGAAATCGGCTCAAACTTTCTACACAGCATAAGAGCATCTATATGTATCAGAAAATGTAATAAAAATTGGAGATGATTTTGGAGTCATTTTTTGAAAAATACCATGGGCTATTGCCTTGGGTATTTTTCAGATTTTGGCACATTTTAAATATCAATAATTACATATCAGAAAATGCAATAGATCTATTACATTTATTATTAATAATTAGATATCATATCAAGTTACTGAATTAAGATCAGAAATCGAAAGATTAGAAGAAAAACTGAGACAAGAGACACACCTCAAAGTAATAACCTCTAATAACCATTAATAACTATTAATAACTATTAATAACTACCAATAACTATTAATTAATAGGAAAAGGCAGAGGCCGATTTGCTTGGCAGAGACGAATTAATCATTCAATTAAGACAAAATTTGAAAACAGCACAAGCCAGACTAAATGTACTGAATACTGTAATACAATTGAATATTAAATTATACTCCTTAATTTTAGGATCTTGAGAATAGACTGTTGGAAGCAACTACAGCACATGCAGCTGAAAAAGTACATTTAAATTATTATTATTATTATTATTATTATTGTTATTATTATTGTTGTTGTTGTTGTTGTTATTTTAGGGGATATTGGAAGCAACCATTGAGGATTTGAATAAGCAACTAGAACAAAAAGAAGGTAAAGTAATAAAATAAAATTTAAATATATTCTCTAAATTCCAGCTGGTATGAGATCATTAAGAAGTGACATTGCTCAGTTAAGAGGAGAGAATGATGCACTGAGGAAAGAGCTGGACAGACTGAGAGGAGAAGTAAGAGAGAGAGAGAGGGAGGGACACTGCATGTACATGTATACTGCATGTACATATAATGTACATGTATCTTTTATCATTGCTGGTGTCTATAGGTCATTAGGCTACAGTCTATCATTGATCAGTTGGAACAGAAAATTAAAGAGAAAGACTTACTGCTGGAACACTCACAGTAATATTGAAATAACAATAACTTTCATGTATATTTATTTATTTATTCTTTATTTCCCAGAGCGACTATCAGTAGCCTACAGAGGGTACTGGATGAACTGAGTAATGACAGGAACAAAGGGAATGTGTCATCAGCTGAAATGGTGAGAATGAGAAGAGAGAAACATGTTTATTATTATTATTATTATTATTATTATTATTATTATTATTATTTTCTTTATTTAACAGGCCAGACTCCAGTCATTATTACAGGCACAAGAGCAGGCACTGAACAGCAAAGAACAAGAAATCAACAACTTAAAACAAGCCATTGAAACCAAAGACGAAATAATACAAGTACAGACTATACAGTACTTTATAATGGAGGAAGAAAAGAAGCTATTTTATTTTATTTATTTTTGGTTTAGGAGCTGAAAATACATTTGGGTAAAGCCCAGACTGAAAAACAGAAATTAGAGGAAGTTATTATACAATTAACGCAAGAAAAGGAGGAGCTTAAGGTAATGAATAATTAATGAATTAATCAATTATATTAATGAATTAATTAATTATATTAATGAATAATTAATTATATTAATGAATAATTAATAGGCTAGGCTAGCTGAGCTTGAGGATAATTCCATTAATAATTTAGCGTCTGCTAAGAGAGTGATGGAGGAGCTACAGGAGCAGGTCCACAGGCTAGAGGCACAGATAAAGGAGATGAGTCAATCACCTCATAAAGTAGCCGTCAGTGTCGAGACCACACCCAAAACCACACCTACTAAAGACCAAGGTGGATCACCTGTGAGTCTAGTAATTAATTAATATTAATAATATTATTAAATTAATTATTAATTAATTTATTAATTTATTATTATTATTAATTAGGGTTCTAGTTCAACAACGATGATATTCAGTGGAATGTCCGAGAAGCTATTGTTGCTGATTCTCCAAAAACTTGACGAACTCTCTCGTGAGATATTAACAGGAAGAACAGAAGGCACCATAGCCAACAGGTAGCTACACTATACTGTACATTTTGATTTAAAATGAACATAATTATTTTTTTCCTTTTGTAATCTCTCCTATTCCCAATTCTTCTACTTATTTTTTATTTTTATTTAAATTTTATTCCTTTTCTTCTCTCTCTCTCTCTCTCTCTCTCTCTCTCTCTCTCTCTCTCTCTTTCTCAGTTCTTTAGCTTCCAAACTGGACGAGCTCTCAAAGCTACAGAAGCAGTTGAAGTCATTACTGAAGAAGAGGAGAGAGGGAGGAGGGGAAGACGAAGTAGACATCGGAATAAAGAGAACAGAATTAGAGGAACTCCAAGAAACGAGCGAGAGAATAATAACGGAATTAGAGAGAGAAAGAGAGAGGGTTCTAGCAGAAGGAGAAGAGAAGGAGACTCTCTTAACGATGTTAAGGTCCGAGCTAGCGGAGACTAAACGACAGTTACTGGAGAGTCAACTGGCGAATGGTCGAATGGACGAAGACTTGAGACGACTTAGGGAGGAGATTAGACGCCTGCGGTCTCAGCTTGACGACGAGGAAGGAAAATCTCGTAAATTGAGGATAGAACTCATGGAATCACGTCTGTCCTCACTCCGTAATCCACCCACGGTTCATAACGAGGGGGTGGGGTCAGTGACATCACTACCAGATCTAAATCGGGATGGGCGTGGTCAAGAGAGATGGACGACGTCTAGTTTCACCTTAGGTGGAGAACAACCCGACCTTAGCGAACTTATCGAAAAACACAGAGAAGTGACAAGACTTAATAAAGAACTACAAAAGAAATGTGAAGAGAGACTCCGAACTTCATCAGGAGGACGAGAAAGAGGAGGAGGAACTACAAGTGATAGAGAGAGGAGTTACTGGGAGAGTAGGATTAGGGAGGCGGAGTCGAAGGGAAGGAGAGAGAAGAGAGAGCAAGAGAAGCTGTTCAATGCTCGGACGAGACTGCTGGAGGAGAAACTGATTGAGAGCGAAAAGAGGCGGCAAATATTAGAAGAGCAGCTGGAATCAGCTGTACAGAAGGAAGAGGAGATAGAGAGGTATAAGAATATTTATTTGTTTATTTATTTGTTTGTTTGTTTGTTTGTTTGTTTAGTTTGGTGACTTCATTGCAAACGGCAGACGAAAAGAAGCGATTGCTTGAGATAAAGTTGGAGGAGATACTGACAGAAAAGAATAATAAAATCTCAGAGCTTGAGCAAAGGATAATTGAACTGCAGGAGAATCAAGTGGGAGAGATGGAGAAAGAGAGAATGGTTGTATTTTATTTATTTATTTATTTATTTTGAAGGGGATGTATTCGCCTGTAACTGATGGAGAATTACGTAATTTAAGAAAAAGGTAACAAAGAATGTCAGAAAATGTGTACATCTAATTAATTTCTTAAAATGGCTGTAACTTAAGAAATTTAAGTTGAAATCAGCTCAAACTTTCTACACAGCATAAGGACATCAATATGTATTGGAAAATTTAATAAAAATTGGGGATCATTTTTTGGCCATTTTTCTGAAAAAAGCATGGGCTATAGCCTTGGGTATTTTTCATAATTTGGCAAATTTCTTAAAATGGCCATAACTTGAAAAATTTAAGTCAGAATCAGCTCAAACTTTCTACATAGCATAAGGACATCAATATGTATCAGAAAATGTAATAAAAATTGGGGGTGATTTTTTAGCCATTTTTCGGAAAAAACCATGGGCTATAGCCTTGGGTATTTTTCAGATTTTGGCAATTTTCTTAAAATGACCATAACTTTAAAAAATTAAGTCGGAATCGGCTCAAACTTTCTACACAGCATAAGGACATCAATATGTATCAGAAAATATGATAAAAATTGGAACTGATTTTTTGGCCATTTTTCAGAAAAAAGCATGGGCTATAGCCTTGGGTATTTTTCAGACTTCAGCATATTTCATTCTTCTCTCTCCTCTCCTAGTATATCTTCTCTAAGAAAAGAGAAATCTCTTCTCATATCTCAACTAACTTCTTGTCGTGAGCAAGTCATTTCCCTTCAGTCGGAAATAGAACAGCTTCAAAGAGTGAGGGACAGTACTGGAGGTAGCCCTGCCTATAGGCGGAGCCTCTCAATAGAGAGTCTACTGGAACAGATCAAGCAATTACGTAGACAACTGGAACAAAGTTTGGATAATAACAGCTCACTTCATGATATACTCCTTAATGCTAGTCAGGTAATAATTATTTTATTTAATAATTATTTATTTTAAATTTATTTTAATATGCTAAAAAATTTAATGCTTCAATTTGTACATGTACATGTAACCTACTTATTTTACACAAGTTATAGCTATCCAATTATTATTTTAATATTATGCTAATTTTTACAAAATTATTTAAAAATTTTTAATCCCAATCTCTTGTTACTATTATTAGCATTCTAAAAATAGAACATCATTACATCATCATATTAGGTATTGGATAGTTCCCAACACACTAGAGCATCAACAGGCGGAGTGGGAGGGGCCACTGGTCTCTCTCCTTGTTCGAGTCCTCCATTAGGCCACACCCCCTTTGTACCAGGAGCCGCCTCCACTGCTAACCCGGGGAGATCAAGAACACGTGTTACCGTGGAAACCAGTTCGCACCAATTGGAGGAGAGGATTAGGAGAGCTCTGAATTCGCCTAACTGTGGGGTAAGAGAAAAGAAAATTTTAAAGGCTATAGAATTCAATTATTTGCAAATTTTTGAAATACAACATACATATATTTTGGATCTTTTTTTAACTCGATTTTAAATGAAAGATTTAAATTTTAAGTTCTACATGTACATGTACAGTGTAGTTCCTTAAAAGCTTTCCATCATACAGTACATGGTACATGAAACATTAACAATAATTGTACATGTACATGTATACATGTATTGATTTTTCTATTCCAATTCTCTTCTCTCTCTTTTCCTCTCTTAGTCAATGGATAAAGGTTTCCTCAATGAGTTATTGCTGTACTTGCAACAACAGAGAAGACAGTTAGATGATAGTCAGCGATTACTGAACGAGCTACAGCAGCAACAAGAAGGAATACCATCAGTATCTCATATAACACTCTCATCACACTATCAGGAGAATGGAGGAGGGGGCGGGGCAGGGGGAGGAGCTGATGATGTAGTAAGTAATACTAATACTTATGGTCACAGATTTTAGCAAGAGTAGATACAGTGTTTGTATGTGCATGTAAAATTATTATTATTATTATTTATTTTATTTATTAATTTATTATTATTAATTAGGATGGTAGCAGGGTGTCAAGTCGAGCATCATCAATTGATTTATCATTAATTAATGAACAGCGTAAGAAGATGGAAATATCAATACATTATTATTATTAATATTTTTTCTCTTTATTTTTTAGTTCAGAGAACACATGAAGCTATCAAAGAGTCTAAGAAATTTCTTAAAAATCAGCGAAGCAATAAATTATAGTTTACCAGTTTTTCAGCATTTTTGAACTATTGATTTACAATTATTATTATTGCAGAAATTGTTGCAGATTTTCAGGTTTTATTAATTATTATTAATAACTAGAATAGTAAATAATCATTTGAACTCAAAGGGTTAATTTTTCATGAAGTTTCTAAATTATTTTATAAGAAAGTTTTCAGAGAAAGTACCAAGGAAATGGCCTATTCCAGGTGTGAATCACGTGATCCTCGTTGCTTCTGGTAAAGGTGGAGTTGGAAAATCTACAACAGCTGGTAAATAATATTCTTTATTTTTTAATTTTATTTTTAATTTTTTAGTTAATTTAGCAGTGACATTAGCAAATGTGAAGGTAAAAATTATATTAATTATTATTTAATTAATTATTAATTAGTAGGGGCTGAGGGTCGGTCTGTTAGATGCTGATGTGTATGGTCCCTCATTGCCACGTCTAATGAACCTCTCGGGACAACCTGAACTGGATAAACGTTAGTATATTATTAGTATATTCCAGTATATTGTCAGTATATTTCATAGAAGACAAGATGATACCACTGACCAATTATAATGTGAAATGGTAATTTATTATTATTTTTTAAAAATTATTTATTTATTTATTATTTTTAGTATGTCAATGGGTTTCTTAGTAGAGGAATCAGAGCCGATAGTGTGGAGAGGATTAATGGTAATTAATAATAATTATTATTAATTACATGTACATGTATATATACAGGTAATGTCAGCAATACGGAGGTTATTAAGAGGTGTGGCCTGGGGTCTATTGGATATATTAGTAATTGATATGCCACCTGGTACTGGAGACACTCAACTATCAATATCAGAGAATATACCTGTATCTGGTAATTAAACAATAATTAATAATTTAATATTATTATTATTAATTTTATTACTGATTTTCCTTTTGCATGTAAATGTTGTTGTTTGTTTGTTTGTTTGTTGGTAGGTGTGGTTTTAGTGTCAACTCCACAGGACCTCTCATTATCTGATGCTAGGAAAGGAGCTGAAATGTTTAAGAAAGTTAACATACCGGTAAGCTTACACCTCAGTAGTGAATATATGGATAAACAGCAATATGAATTACTTGTATGGTCTTAATCCTTTCTCTTCTTATAATTTGCAATTTATATCTACTTCTTTCCCTTTCTTGTTTAGAACTGTAACTAATAGAGTATATCTCTTGCATAATTCTCTTAATTTTTTCTTCCTTCCTTCTCCTCTATACTCATTAGGTTTATGGTATTATAGAGAACATGAGTGGTTATGTGTGTCCTAATTGTGGACATCATTCAAACGTGTTTGGTAAAGTAGGAGGAGCTGACAAACTGTCTAAAGATGTGGGTGTGGACATAATAGGTTACTATAGCAACACGCCATTATCTTGATCACTTCTTTTTCTTTCTCCACTTCATTTATTCCTCTTTTAATTGCTTTGTGCCTTTGTCCTCTCTCTCTCTCTCCCTCCCCCTCTCTCTTTCTCTCTCTCTCCCTCTCCCCGGCTCTCTCTCTCCCTCCCTCCCTCCCTCCCTCCCTCCCTCCCTCCCTCCCTCCCTCCCTCCCTCCCTCCCTCCCTTCCTCCCTCCCTCCCCCCCCTCTCTCCCTCTCTCCTCATAAAGGTGTGATTCCATTAGATGGTGATATTTGTGAATTATCAGATAAAGGTCAACCAATAGTTATATCAAGGCCTGATAGTCCACAGGTATATTTAATAATTAATTAATGTTGACATG